GCAGGGGACACGGGTTCGAGTCCTGGTCCGGTAAGATCCTACAGTCCACAGAGCAACTAAGCCCATGTGCCACAACTACTGAACCTGTGCTCAAGAGGCTGCAAGCCACAACTGCTGGACCTGTGAGGCACAACTACTGAAACATGGGCGCCTAGATCCTGTGCTCTGCAACAAGAGAAGCCACCGCAATGAGAAGCCCATGCACTGCAACAAAGAGTAGCCCCCACTTGCCGCAACTAGAGAAAGCCAGTGCACAGCTATGAAGACCCAACGCAGACAAAATTAAATAAATTAATAAATTAATTAAAACAAAACAAAAACAAAAAAAACTGACCTGCAGATAGGCAAGTGACTGGGCCAAGGTCACACAGATGGTGAAGTGACAGAGCTCATCTTCTGATTCTAGGTGCTCTTGCCACCATAGCCTGTGTCTTCTGTTGGAGGGTGTCAGCATAGCATAGTTTGGAGACATCTTCTCTGAAGATTATTCAGCCTTCTTAACCTGGTTTCGGATCCCCTAATAGGGGTTTGAGAAGGCTTATTGAACAACCAACAGTATAAAAACTGATGCACAGTGTTTGCTTTTAAAGACACTTTATATAAAAATAAAATATGTGAAGGGAGAAGTCATTGCATTAGAAAAAAAATGTTGAAGTTACTTTCAATTAGGAATGTAAAATGGGTAAATGTGTACACATAGTTAAAACTTATCCATTTAAGATGTAGGATTGGATCTAACAAGCTATAAAATGATAAGAGGTTTCTTTATTTTTATTAGGCTGGTGTTCATTATCTTAATCTAGTAGATAATGCTTTACCGTCAAAGTTAGACCAAAGTAAAAATAAAAACTTAATTGTTTTTACTGTATTAGCAACAACCAGTTAGAAGCTCTCATGGAAAAAAATTCATTCAGAAAAGCAGTGACAACAACATCAGCAGCAACAACAACATGAAAGTGAAATGTCTGAAAATAATCCTAATGAGAAATACACGGGACTTATATGAGAAACATTAGTAAACATCACTAAGAAAAAAACATCAATTTCCCTGTTGGGAAAAGTGGAGAATGACTATCAAGAGACCATTTATAAAAAAGGATATTCAGATGATTAATAAATATATTTGTCACTTATAGCTAAAGATTTGAAAAATAAACTAATAATGAAATTTCATTTTAACCCTAAATTGGCAGGATTTAAAAATAATCATATTATTCCATACTTCCTGAGGGGCCCTAACATGCCATTCTCATATAGTGCTGGTGGGGTTATAAACTGACAAAGTTGCTTTAAAATTTATCAATGTGTTTAGTGTCTTAAAATATGCATGTGCTTTTCACCAGTAATCTCACCTCTAGAAATTTATTCTAAAAAATTATCACAGGGCTTCCCTGGTGGCACAGTGGTTGAGAATCTGCCTGACGATGCAGGGGACATGGGTTCGTACCCCGGCCCGGGGAAGATTCCACATGCCGCAGAGCGGCTGGGCCCGTGAGCCATGGCTGCTGAGCCTGTGCGTCCGGAGCCTGTGCTCTGCAATGGGAGAGGCCACAACAGTGAGAGGCCCGCGTACCTCCCAAAAAAAAAAAAAAAAAAAAAAAAAAAAATTATCACAGATGCTGATAAATATTTGTGTGTAAGGATGTTTATTACAGTATTATTTATAATAGTGAAAAACCGGAAATAAATTATATGTGCAGTGATAGGAAATGGTTAAATCAGTTATGGTCCATCTCTATAGTTGAAGCCTATATAGCCACTAAACATGTTTTTGAAGAATATTTAATAACATGGGAAGTTATTTATGATACAACGGCTTAAGTGAAAAGAATGCAGTGTACAAAATTTTGCTTAGTTATGTATATTAGTTTACTAGGGCTGCCATAACAAAATATTGCAGACTGGCTGGCTCAAACGATAGAAATTTATCTCTCACAGATCTGGAGGATAGAAGTCCAAGATCAAGGTGTCAGCAGGTTTGTTTGTTTTCTTCTGAGGCCTCTCTCCTTGGCTTGCAGATGGCTGCCTTCCTTCTATGACCTCACATGGTTTTCCCTTGTGTCTCTCTCTTTCTGTGTCATAATATCCTCTTCTTATAAGGACACCAGTCAGATTGGATTAGGGCCCACTCTAATGGCCTCATTCTAACTTAATTACCTTTATTATAGGCCCTGTCTCCAGACACAGTCACATTCTAAGGTACTGGGGATTAAGGCTTCAATATGATTTTTTGCCTGGGTGGGGGGAGGGTACACAGTCCACAATACCGTGATTCTGATTTTATTTAAAAATGCAAAGAGGGCTTCCCTGGTGGCGAAGTGGTTGAGAGTCCGCCTGCCGATGCAGGCGACACAGGTTCGTGCCCCGGTCCAGGAAGATCCCACAGGCTGTGGAGCGGCTGGGCCCGTGAGCCATGGCCGCTGAGCCTGCACATCCGGAGCCTGTGCTCCGCAATAGGAGAGGCCACAACAGTGAGAGGCCCGCGTACCACTTGTAAAGCAATTATACTCCAATAAAAAAAAAAAAAAAAAAAAAAAGCAAAGCAAAAAAAAGACTGGAAGGAAGCATAGTAGATTTGTAGCTTTGTGAGCAGTCCTGAAGATTCATAATACGTGGTAACTGGTAAATAACTTTGCTGATGTACAAATCTAAGTCACATGGACCTTTGAAGATGGCCTGCAGCAAAGTCTACTGGGCATCCTCATCTCACTGGGCTTCTTTATGTTTCATTCATCATCTTGGATGTAGAAATTTCACTAAGGGTTAAAAGACTCGTAATTTTTTTTACGATGCCATATCATAGTTTATAGGGGAAATATGCAATAATGGTAGTTTCAAAACTGATGCTCTATCTTCCATGAATACATAAATAATTAAAAACTATTAAATGTTAAAGAGGTTGTATGAGTGGTGTAGTAATAAATTTAAAAAAATTTATTATTTTTTATGGTATCTACTATAGCATGTATTACTTTTATAATTGGGAAATAAATTCATGTTGTTTAAAAAATACTGACAATTTTCCATCTGAAAATATGGGATGAAGTTGATGTGATCAATTTCATGCTGTGTGATTCTTAAAAAAACTTTAATTCAATTCAATTTGGTTCAACAACTATTTGTTGTTCACTTACACTGTGCATGGTGCTATGGTTCAAAGCTCCATGAGACATCATCTGACCGTCTGAATACTCTTACTCTAATTAAGGAGACTGAAAACCACTCTGCTGACGGTGAAAAGTGTTATAAATAAAATATGGAAGCCTGGAGGGAGAATTGATAAAGGTGACTTCGTTTTAGAGTTAAGCCTTGAAGATAGAGTGAGAATTCACCATTCAAAAGAGGGGAAAGAAGGTCAGGCAAGGAGGTGTTTATTCCCCCCATTTATGTACTTAATCATTTACTTATATCAATATTGACTCATGGATATCTATTTTATACTTTGTGTTATAATCCATACCTTTTTTTTTTTTGGATGTGCTTTCTTTGCTCAATGAAATGTTGTGACTTTCAAAGTCAACAGAGGTGAACATCATAACTTTTAGTGGTTATATAGTACGTATTTAATCAATTCTCTACTGATGCACACTTTTGCTTCCACTTTTTATTTCCAACAGTGCTGGAATAACATCCTTGTACATTCATTTTTGTGCACTTGGGCGACTGTTCTTTAGTTTACCATTCTAATCCCATCCCTAAGACATATACTTGAGCTTTGTTCCCTGTTCCTCAAGTACACCCTGCTTTCCCTTAGCTTCCGCTATTTACCTAGAAGGCTCTTCCCCTGTCTTTGTCCACTGAAGTTCCCTGTATGATTCAGGGTTCAGCTCAAAGGCTATTTGCTGTATAAATTCTTCTCTAGCGTTTTGAAGAGAATTTAATGGTTCCATCCCACTTCTCTTTGTTGTATATGTGTTGTAACACTTATTATCCAACACTCCTATTCTATCCCAGGACTTCTCTCTACTAGATTTTGAACAGATAGAGGCAGAAATGTGATCAATCACACTCATTTGTGTACTCCATCATAAAGTAACTAGCATATGTTGACTTTGAAGGGAAGAATCTGAGTAACTGAGAAATTAAGAATTGTGCTCAAGGGACTTTCCTGGTGGTCCAGTGGGTAAGAATCCGTGCTCCCAATGCAGGGGGCCCAGGTTATATCCCTGGTCTGGGAACTAGATCCCCCATGCATGCAGCAACTAAGACCCCGTGCAGCCAAAAAAAAAAAAAATTGTGCTCAATATTGAGCAGCTAGTTACTCTTCATTTCTTTTACATACATTGTTGCTCCATGCTTCAGGAAGACAGAGGAGTTGAATACAGGTGCTAGTGTTTGTTTAAAGTACAAACAACTGTGCTAGTTTAATGTTTTTCAGCTGTCTGTCAAAAATGTTTGTTATTTGAAGACTTGTATAACAGTCTTCCAAAATGCCTGTTCATTATGCCAAGTATTCACAGGAAATTGCATATGAATGCAGGAGAAATTAAACAAGGCCTCTGATCTTTCCGACTTCCTTTTTAAGTCAGCAGGTGGCATAACGTATCTTATGTATTAGAATTAGTAATAAGAGGTGAATGCCAAAAAACAAAACAAAAAGAAAACAAAGAGATAATGTTAGTTTAGTCGTGAGGCTGTCAGTGAGCTGAGGCTAAAGAAGGTCCCGCACTGTGGTCCTGATGATCCACCAAGCGTGCACCTAGGAGGAGACGCGCCCCTTCCGTTAACACTTTGTGGCGGGGTGACCTGCACATCTGTGACCCCCGCCGGGTAGGAGGAGGCCCCGCTGCAGACGTGCGCGCAGATACAGCCACCCGCAGGCACCTGGCTCCGCGCGCCGCGGGAGGGGGGTGGGCCGGGGCAGGTCCCACCGCCGACCACGCCCCCAGGAGGTGGGGCGGGGGGGGCGGGCGTCTTTAAGACCGGGCTGCCCAGCCTCCTCTTCAGTCAGGGTGCGGGGCTGTGGACCAGGCGGTTCGAGTGTTAGCCGTGCGCCGCCTGCCCACGGGGGCCTCCACCACCCTCACCTCGGCCTCACTAGCCCGCCAACCCAACTCGGCGGCTCCTCCGCGAGCCTGCCGGGAACTCGCGCCCCTCGCGTTTCCCGGCCCCCGAGGGGGCAGCCTCGGGCCATGGTGCCCTCCCAGGAGGAGCCCGCCGCCGCGCGGGGGCCGAGCGAGGCGCAGCCGCCCGGCCCCGCGCCCCCAGGGGCCGCTCCGCTGCCCGGCCCGGGACCCTTGGATGGCCCGGAGGCGGCAGGGGCCGAGAAGGTGGAGGTAGAGCTGGCGGGGCCGGCGGGGCCGGCGGGCGCTGAGCCCCTTGAGCCCCCTGAGGGCGGCTGGGGTTGGCTGGTGATGCTGGCGGCCATGTGGTGCAACGGGTCGGTGTTCGGCATCCAGAACGCCTGCGGGGTGCTCTTCGTGTCCATGCTGAAGACCTTCGGGTCCAAGGACGATGACAAGATGGTCTTCAAGACAGGTGAGGCACAGCAGCCGCCGCGGCCATCCCCGAGGGGGCTGGCGCGGGGACCCCCGGGCATCCCGCGTGCGGAGCGAGCGTCGGCGCCGCCTAGTGCGCCTCTGTGGGTCCGTGTGTGCGGAGGTTGTGAGGGGTGGGTCTGTCCAGTTGCAAAAGCAGCCTGCTCTGTGCGCCTGTCTTTGTGTTGAATCCAGATGTAGGCACTGTATTTGGAAACAAGTCGCAAAACTTATTTGCCTAGATCTTCCTGCTTTCCTCTCTGCAGAATAGGGGCTAAGAGTCTGCGGTAGACTTTCTCTTAATTTTTGAAAACAAACAGACCCTTCCAAACCCTGTTACACCGCTCCGTCATTTTTACGGTCTCTTTCGTGACCGTGGGTTTTTGTTCATCTGCTCCCGGCGCTGCAGAGGGCTGTTTGTGTTGCGGGGAGGCAGGGTTGGCGAGATGAAAGATATGTATTCCAAGGTCACGGGAGTTCGGAAGGGGGCCCTGAAGGAACCACGGTTTCGTGGCGTTTTTTTTTTTTTTTTTTTTTTTTTTTTGCGCGGGGGGGAAGGGGTTGTCACTCTGCTAAATATAGGAGACAGCCAGATCAGGGACTGGGAAGAGGGAGGTGAAGGGTTGCCCTTTCTTAGTGTGTTGTCATATTTAATCATATACCAAATTAGATGAAAAAGGTGCAGACTCAAAAATTTTTTTCCGTGTAGAGGGTTGGTTATTACCTGATCTACCAAATCCAAGACCTTCTGTATAATGCCTTTACATACATTATTTCACGTCATCCTGCGAGGCAGGCGTTGTCAACCCCATTTAGGTGAGAAAAGTGAAGCTTGTTGAAATAAAGTGTCCTAATGAGCCCAGAATGGAGATAAGACACACATCTTACGACTTAAAGGGCCAAGTGATTTCCATTACTAAATCAGGCTCCCTCCTTGCCGTTTGGGCAACTATATGGTTAATGGTCTTTTTTTTTTAACTTTAATTTTCGTTTATTTTTAGAGTTTTCCTTAGGTCTTTAGTGTGCATACAAAAAATACATAAGACTCGTAACAAATTCTAAGAGAGAGGTAATGTTGGGAGTTTTAAAGCCTTATATATCAAGAGTATTATACTATATGTATCATTATTCAGCTTTTCTTCTGCTCTGCATTGTTTGCAGTTTATCCCCATAATACCTCAATTTGAGCTGGTAGCTTAAATTCTTTACATTTTAACTCATAGTTTTCCATTGTATGAATATATTATACTTTATATGCATTTTTCCTTTAATAAACATTTAGGTTACTTCCAAATTTACTATAGACAATGCTGCCATGCATATTCTTGTACATTGGCTCCTTGCGCATGTGAATCAAGTACCATATTTAACCTGGAATTTCTGTTCCTTAAATAGCTTTTAAAGCTGTTGTGTTCTGCAGGTCACAGGATACAAAAGTGTTCAAAATGTAATATGATGTACCTGCTTGGAAGGCAACTATTGTACAGTTTATCAGGATAGATATGCATATGTAGTGGTAAACAAAAATTATTATTATTTTTTTTTTCTTGCGTTATGCGGGCCTCTCACTGTCGTGGCCTCTCCCATTTGCGGAGCACAGGCTCCGGACGCGCAGGCCCAGCGGCCATGGCTCACGGGCCCAGCCGCTCCGCGGCATGTGGGATCCTCCCGAAACGGGGCACGAACCCGCGTCTCCTGCATCGGCAGGCGGACTCTCAAGCACTGCGCCACCAGGGAAGCCCAACAAAAATTATTTTGTGTCTTTTCTCTATGAGTATCGGGTATCTGGGAGGCAAAAGCCCAAGGAGGCAGAATTCACAGAGTCAGCATTTTAAGACTAGTTCCTTCAGCATTTAGCATATTCTTGCCTGGGATTACAGACGTTTATTGCAGTCAAAACACCAAAACAAAACAGTCTTTTGTTTACCACTGGTTTTGCAAACTCAGGTGAGTAGATCCATTGGTATCTGTGGAGTGTCTTATTTTTTCTCCTTCCTAACTTTTTTTTTGAGAGAGTGACCAACTGCTGGAGAGAGACCATAGCTTTACCAGGGATCAGAGTTTTGCAGTGTCGAAGCCTCTGTATCTCTACCGTCCCCAAGGTTCCCATTGCTACAACAGGCCAATTCTGGGTAGCTGAAGGGGAGGGAGGCCACAGGGACCTGCTCTCTTGAACTTTTTGAAACTCTCTATTTTCAGTTTTGTTGAATGTCTTTCTCCATTTACTCATTTAAATCCTTGATGGCTTTCAGCCGTGTTTGTGTGTGGGGGGGTGTGTACCACACAATCAAGTATACAGGTGTGCCAGCGAAACACTGAAGATCTTTGTGCTCTTCTGCATGACTGCCATGTGTGGTTGGTTGTGCCCTTGCACAAAGGTACACAATTCAGGGTCAGTGGTGACTGGAAACCAGCCTGTGCTCTGGGTGCCCTTTATCTAATTCCTGCAGAGGGGCCTAACACCCCAGCTAGATGGCACAAAAGCCTGTACTTGTACTTGGTCGATATGTGAAACATGTACAGCAGATAAACTTTAAGGTCTGAGGTCACCTCATCGGTGAAAAAATGGTGACAGGATAGTCTTTTAGCCAGTTAATGTTGAGATCCACCCCCCTTCTGTCTCTCTCTCCTTTCTTCGCTCCCTTCCTCCTTCCTCTCTTTCTCTCTCTCCCCCCTTTCTCTTTACCTCCCTCCCTCCATCTCTCTCTCACACACACACACACACACACACACACACACACACACACACACACACACACACACGTGTTTCATATAAAGTCTCATCTACAGTAGGCCCTGAAGTGTTTGAGAACACCTGCCTTGAAGTTTGACTCTTCAGTCTTTTTTATCTGGATATTCTAATGCTGAGTCATCTGTGATCAAACGTATGCTAACTTCAAGTACAACGTAAAACATATCTGGAACTGTTTAAGGCTTTTATTTTTTCAAAGTTTCGGTCCATTTTCGAAGTCTGGAACAGAGGGACTAGAGCCCGTGCATTCCATATCCTCTCTGCAGCCTCTCCCTCCTTTACTTTCTTTTTTAAAAAAATTAATTAATTTATTTTTGGCTGTGTTGGGTCTTCGTTTCTGTACGAGGGCTTTCTCTAGTTGCGGCAAGCGGGGGCCCCTCTTCATCGGGGTGCGTGGGCCTCTCACTATCGCGGCCTCTTGTTGCGGAGCATGGGCTCCAGACGCGCAGGCTCAGTAGTTGTGGTGCAAGGGCTTAGTTGCTCCGCGGCATGTGGGATCTTCCCAGACCAGGGCTCGAACCCGTGTCCCCTGCATTGGCAGGCAGATTCTCAACCACTGCGCCACCGGGGAAGCCCTCGGTCCATTTTCTATTACGTTATTCATGATTGATAATTCCGGCATTAGAGGGCAGTCTCCACGTGTTCATTAGCTTCTTTATAATTATAAGCCCAAGGATACACAGGGAGGTGGTGTTGGAATGGGAACCTAGGCTTCCAAATGATGGTTCATATTTCTTGAGAACTTCACATGTGCCAGGCCCAGTGCTAAGCACTTTACATGCATTCCTATTTTAAACCTTACTACAACTCCATGAGATAGGCTTTATTTATTTATTTATTTTTAAAGAAACTTATCTGTTGAGCTTTCATTTATTATTTATTTAATTTATTTATGTATTTTGGCTGTGCTGGGTGTTCATTGTGGCATGTGGGATCTTTAGTTGCGGCATGCATATGGGATCTAGTTCCCTGACCAGAGATTGAACCCGGGCCCCCTGCATTGGGAGCATGGAGTCTTACCCACTGGACCACCAGGGACGTCCCGAGATAGGCTTTATTTAATCTTTCTTTTCCGATGTGGAAACTCAGGCTTATAGAGATTAAGTAAGTGGTGGAGCCAGGGTTCAACCTCAGGCTGATGTGACTTCAGAAGCTAGGTTTTGAATGCTTGATCATATTGCATTGGCTAGAGAACATTCTGCTAATCCAGTCTTCTTTATGTTTGGTTAATTCAAGTGTTAGAAATTGAGTACTATACCGAGAATTCTGGCGTTAGAAAAGAGGTCTGAAGGATTAGGGTCCCTGTTTCTTGGTCTTACTTGGCTGTCAGTAAGCAATTGCCAGTTGTTGATGTCTCGTTGAAATAGATTTTTGGGCGTTCCCTGGTGGTCTAGTGGTTAGGATTTGGTGCTTTCACTGCTGTGGCCTGGGTTCAGTCCCTGGTTGGGGAACTGAGATCCTGCAAGCCATGCGGCGTGGCCAAAATTAAAAAAAGAAAGAATTAGGTTTTTGAAGTATAGGGAGATGTTCACGGAGAAGCAAGATAATTTCACATGGCATTCAAGGAGGAGTCTGGGGTTTCCTTTGAAGAACCAGGCTCCTTTAGACTGATCCATAGCAGGACAGTACTTCCAGGCAGAACTGAAGAGGAACCTTCCTCAGGCTTTACTTTTTCTCTTCAGGGCTCTCTTACCTCTTTCTGTGTCACTGACGATTCACCCAAAATTTCTCAGGAAAAGGGCGTGGAGAAATTCACTCACATTAAGATATAAGTGAGTTTACACATCTTAATGTTACTCCTTATTCATTCTAAAAATGTTTACCAAGTATCTGACACCCTCTGTGCTGGGCACTGGAGGTGGTAATAGAGAGAGGAAGTCAGCTGTTCCCAAGGAGAACAGCTGATTCCCTTTTGATCTGCTGTGGGATACAAATAAGTAAACAGAGTACTTCTCTTTGCAGTATACCAGGACTCAGTCTTAATGTAAGAGGCTGAAACTCTAAGGAAATTCCCACGAACGGTGGAGGCTGGGAAAGGCATTGGATGGCCTCTTTCTCTGTGGCAATAAATCTCACTTGGTGAAATTAAGACTTTGGAAAGGGGAAGAAGGCCGAACTCCAATTTAGGCAGTAGAACCAATTAAAAATGTTGAGTGCATCACAGCCCTATTACGTTATCCTGGCTGCTGTTGACATGGCACTCAGAGATATGCCTTGCACATACTGCTGTGTTAGAAAGGTCCATCAGA